GAATGCATTAAAAGCAAAACTGTAAAAAAAATTACAGTTTTCAGTTTGGATATACACTCACCGGCCACTTTATTAGGTACACCTTACTGGGCCCCCTGTTGCCTTTAGAACTGCCTTAATCCTTCATGGCATAGATTCAACAAAGTACTAGAAATATTCCTCAGAGATTTTGGTCCATATTGACATGATAGTATCATGAAGTTGCAACAGATTTGTCGGCTGCACATTCATGATACGAATCTCCTGTTCCACCACATCTCAAAGGTGCTCTATTGGATTGAGCTCTGGTGACTATGGAGGCCATTTGAGTACAGTGAACTTGTTGTCATGTTAAAAAAAAGCAGTCTGAGATGATTCATGCTACATGACGATTGAGCGTTATCCTGCTAGAAGTAGCCATCAGAAGATTGGTACGCTGTGGTCATAAGGGGATGGACATGGTCAGCAACAACACTCAGGTAGGGTGTGGTGTTTACACAATGCTCAATTGGTACTAATGGGCCCAAAATGTGCCAAGAAAATATCGCCCACATCATTACTCCACCACCAGCAGCCTGAACCGAATACATGCTTTCATGTTGTTGATGCCAAATTCTGACCCGACCAGCCGAATGTCGCAGCAGAAATCGAGAGAATCATTAGACCAGGCAATGCTTTTCCAATCTTTTATTGTCCAATTTTGGTGAGCCTGTGCAAATTGTAGCCTCAGTTTCCTGTTCTTAGCTGATAGGAGTGGCACCTGGTGAGGTCTTCTGCTGCTGTAGCCCATCTGCCTCAAGGTTCAATGTGTTGTGCATTCAGAGATGCTCTTCTGCATACCTCGGTTGTAATGAGTGTTTTTTTGAGTTACTGTTGCCTTTTTATCAGCTAAAACCAGTCTGGCCATTCTCCGTTGACCTCTGGCAACAAGGCATTTGTGCCCCCAGAACTGCCGCTCACTAGATATTTTCTCTTTTTCGGACCATTCTCTGTAAACCCTAGACAAGGTTGTGTGTGAAAATCCCAGTAGATCAGCAGTTTCTGAAATACTCAGACCAACCCATCTGGCACCATCAACCATGCCACGTTCAAAGTCACTTAAATCAACGTTCTTCCCCATTCTGATGCTCGGTTTGAACTGCAGCAGATCGACTTGACCATGTCTACATGCCTAAATGCATTGAGTTGCTGCCATGTGATTGGCTGATTAGAAATGTGCGTCGACAAGCAGTTGGACAGGTGTACCTAATAAAGTGACAGGGTGAGTGTATTTTAATGGAATTTTATTTCTCTGATGCAAACACTTTTTAGTTGCCATAACTCACAGGTCATGTCACATAAGGTCCTTTAGAAATAACTTTACACTTAAGGGACAGTTGACCCAAAGATGAAAATTCACTGACTATTTACTGTCTATACACTCAAGAGATCTTTCTTCTTTTGAACATAAAATACTATATTTTGAAGAAAGTTGAAAACGTGTATTCCATAGTAGAAAAAACCCGATATGAATGGTTTCCAGCTGTCTTTAAAATATCTCTTGTGTTTAACAAGAAAAAAAAAAAGGTTTGCAACCACTGAATATTTTTCAGTTTTGGGTGTACTGTCCTTTTAATTACATCAATGTGAATTACTTTTACCCTTTTTGGGTCTTTAGCAACTCAAACTTAAATGTCTAACACAGATGGATCTTTAACTAAAACTTTGCTGACATTTAATAAGAATTACAAAATAACAAATAAAGCTTAATTTGTTAACTTTGGGAATGTGAAAAGGTTCAATTTTAGCAGATGATTTTACTATCGCTGTCACTATCCGAACATGCTAATCCAGTGCATTCAGTATCTGGCTCCTCATATTTGTGATTTTACCACATACACAATACTATATATTTGAATACCACAGACAGCTTCTTCACTTATTCAACCATCAGGAAACAAGGACATGTATACTTGATGATGCATAAGAATTAGTCTGCAGTAAAGTTATTCAAGCCATTTTAAGTTTCGCTGATGATATTCTTTTGTTTTATGACTTTGGTATTTATGCGTGAAACACCACATCATATGTATCAGACATTTCTACAAACAGGAATAAGATGATTGAGTCATTATTAGCTATGTTTCCATTCAAAGATGATTATTTAATTTCTATGCGAAACTGGAAAATCGCATAAAAGAAAGCAGCGTTTTCATCCAATGAGTCAAAGAGAACAAAATTACTATTTCTGATTTTCTTTTGTAACGAATAAAATGTTTATCCAACTCAGTTAAAATAATAATAATAATAATAATATAGAAAATGTCAATTTTTTTAAATTTATGAGTATCTTGGATTTTCCATCAAGCATTTTCTTATGCACTTGGAATACTAAAATGCTTACACTATAAAAAACATTGGTTCACTAGTGACCTTTTACACAAAAATTAATTAGGAATCACACATTCTTTAACGTCTGGATTTTTAATATCTTGTTTTGTTGTTTATAATAAATGAATTGAGTAATACTAAGAAGGTGGGTGTCTGATTAAAAAAAATAATGATGTGAATGCACAAAGAATTTATTGGTTTGTTCCTCAAGAAACATTACCACCCTTGTAGAAATCACATATCCCACTTAAAGGTGCAGTATGTAAGTTTGACGCCCAGTGGTTGAACTCGGTATTGCATTCCTGGATCAAAACAAACGCAAGTGCCGGTTGCCAGATTGAGGACCAACAGGAGTGTGCCTGACTAACAAGCATGAAGGCTGATTTAAATCAGGTTCTATATAAAAGTCAAGCCACGTGATGAAAGGAATATTTTCCATATCAAAAGGAGTGTTTGTCCTAACCAACACCTGGAATTTATATTAGAAACTGCTTCTATTTCATATCATAACAGCAAACTGATAATGATCACCTCAGGTACACCTCATGTGCTTTATTCAGTGTTAAATGCTAATAATTTTTATTTGAAAACCATTTTACAGGACATTTATTGCCATACTACTGAAAGCAGCAGCAGATCGTTTACCTAAGATTTTGAAAATAATTTGAAATTGAACTTTGAAACTTTAGACTTAAAACCAACACATATCAGTGATTCAGCATGTACATTTAATAATGTTAAAGAGGTTTAATATGTATTATGAACCTTACCATTTCGTTGGAGTGCAGTAAGTGCATTATTCTATGTTTCTGAGTGGCTGTATTTAAATTTCTAAAGTGATTCTTCTGGTGCAAACAGCTAAATTGCTAATCACTGCAAATATTGTTGTGTATCGTGTGGTAAGGGCACAGGGTAACAATGTAACCTGCTCACCTAATGTTTGTGTTCATAATATTTATATTATTTGCTAATTTATAACCTCACGTGGAACTCTGAATCTGCGTCTTATTTCAGAGTCAGCAACTTTCCACTGGAGGTCACATTTCGGTCATGGGTGCATGCTTTGTGAGCCTTCCTGACTGAATGAATCAAATACTGAATCAGGTTGAAAGAAACGAAACAAAGAAAGCGTTCCAGAACGTAACAGACATTTTCAAAGTAAAGTATCTGACTTCAGATAAACAAAAATGTTCACTTGCTCAAGGTTCTTAAATATCTCCAAACATATAGTATTTTTATGCTTCAGAAGAGTCACAAACTTACACACAGCACCTTTAATAATTTAGTGGAAATTGTGATCCATTAAATCAAGAAAAAACAAAACATGAATTGAAATGTAATATTAAAAGTGATATAAACTTTCAGCTTTTACTGACGTAATGTATCAACTTACAAAATCTTACAGACCCCAAATGTTTTAGAGTGAAATATTAATTAAGTCCAAGCCCCAGAGACATTTGTTTGTCTTCAGAAGACAAATGGGGATATTTTAGATGAAACCCGAAAGATCCATTATTCTCCATTAGATCCATTATTCTCCAGAGCGCCATCTGATTAATTTCATTTTAAATAGCATGCGAATGTGCGCGTCTGGTGTGCGATACTTTTAACTGTCATGTGCGCGCCGTGTCGTGGAGCTGAGTGGTGCATCTGGTGTGTGACGCCCTTTACTACTGACACTGACGGAAAAACTAGAAAAAGAGTTGTTTTATATGTGCACGAAAGTATTCTTGTAGCTTCATAATACTCTGATTGAACCACTCAACACAAATGGACTGTTTTGATGATGTTATTTGGTTCTTTGAACGAGACGGGAACATTGCTGCATATGGAGAATAAGAGAGCTCTCAAATTTCATCCAAAATACCTTAGGGTTTGGAACAACATGAGAATGAGTAATTATTGACAGAATTTTGAACTAATCCTTTATCATTAATCACTAACATTAACGTAATCTAATAATGATGGATGAAAAAAACAAAACACAACTCCATTTGTCTATTAACAAAAAACAAAATCAACCCTGTGCTGGTTTCAGCTGAAACACTATTGCAACATCAATACTCGTGTGGATTTCTGCAGGGATTCTAAGAACAAAATCCATCATTGCACACGTCTAATCATACTTGACATGTATTATTATTTCTCCTAATGTGCGTAACTTTCATCCCAAAACCCTCTGGATCAGATTTGGCAGAGAGAGGCGTTTCGAATTGACCTGCGTCCCAGAAGAAGAATCGGGAACATTTTGCATGGCTAAAAAAAACTACAGATCTGTGTCTCTGTATGAACAATAAACATACCCATACAACTCCTGAAGGAAAATCTGGATGAAGACCTACAATGATGAAACAAAAACCCCTACAAGACCCGTAAAAACACTGGACACACTCATCAGACCTTTATCTGGCACTGTGTTATACCACCTTCCATTTGTCTAAAGGATTCTGCTCAAGTACTGTTTCTTTTCTCGTGCGTTTACTTGGTAAAAAAAAAAAGTGAGATTCCTGTGAAGCAAGAATGTTAAGCTCTGCGTGATGACAGATGAACAGGACCCAGTTTTTTTTGAAGAATTTCTGGTCTGGTCTTTCAGTCCCAGTACTTGTTTAGATGTGTTTGTTTTGTTGCTCTTTCTGTCAGTCATTTAGTTTTTAGGCATTGTTAGAGCTGATTTCTCCTAGCAGCCAATACGTCCTCATCCGGCCCTTTCCCTTCATCTCCACATCTCCTCTGAGCTCCAGCTGGAAGCAGTTGAACTCCTGCAGGACGGCCCGTGTGGCTTCTGACACATGGATCTTTAGAGCTGAATGAAGAGCAGTCAGTGTACACTAGATTATAGTAACACACACTCCATGGAAACAAAACATAACAACAAAAACTGCTTTTTAACCACTGTGCTTCTTTTGTGGAGCACTAGAAATTCCACTTTTTTCAGAAATCTTTGGTGAATAGAAAGTTAAAAGAACAGCACTTCTTTTAAAATAATCTTTTATAGGAATATTAATCAATAAAGGTCTTAACTGTGAGTTTTGATCAAATAAATGCAACCTTTCTGAATATAATGTACAAAAATATTGAAGTAGTTTGCCCAGAAAAAAACATTGATGAATTTCTTTCTTCTGCTGAACACAAAGAAATATATTCAGGATAAAAACTGCCATTGACATCAATAAACAACAAACAAAAAATGTAGGTGCTATGGAAGTCAATGGTTGTATTTTTTCATCATTTTTAGTAGGGGTGTAACATATCACAACCCACTGTTCGAAAAGCATGGGAGCTGTGGATTAATAATTTGTTTTTAACTTGTAGTTTAATACAACATTTATTGCAATTGCATAGAGATCGCCTACCGCATCATTCAAATCAAGTGTATGAAAGCATTTTTGCTTTCCTGTAAAATATAATGATGACGGAAAAAGTTGTGGTGGGACCTAAATGCTTACTTAGGTTATTATTTAAAGGTGTTTTCTATCTTGGTTTATTTAGCTTGCATTATTGCATTCTGTGTAAAGCTGCACAATTAATCATTAAAAGATCATGACCTTAATTCAAAACCGCGTAACATGAATGATAAATAATAATGATTTGCAAATGTTTATTAATCCGTTGAAGCGCTGCGTTTAAATCTGCGTTTGTTCTACAGAGATTCACTTTTCATTTAGTTACAAACAGTTAAATAACACAGAAGTACTGACTTAACAGTTTATAGTTCAGATGTAAACACTGATGTTTATGGTAAAGATTAAAATCCCTGTTTAAAGATGCAGTAGGTGATCTGCCTACATCAGGCATGCCCAAACTTGGTCCTGAAGAGCCGGTGTCCTGCAAAGTTTAGTTCCAGTCCTAATCAGACACACCTGGGTTAGCTAATCAAACTCTTACTAGCCTTTCTAGAAACATCCTTGCAGGTGTGTTGAGGCAAGTTGGATCTAAAATCTGCAGGAAACCAGCCCTTAAGGACCGAGTTTGGAGACCCCTGGCCTAAATGCTAACCGGTTAGCTTAGTATCTTTCAAATACGATCCCTCCCCTGCCGTCCAAAGCCACACCTCATGAAATCAAGAATGAGCGCATTAAAGATGACAGACACCCACAAGATCATGTCATTCACCAGCTAGAAAACTTTATAGTACTTTATAATATTACAATTCTGAACAAAAAAGTGCATTATATCTAGCACATTTTCAGTTCTGTAGTTAGCAAGCAAAGTAGCGTGGTAAACAATACAGGGAGCGAGTCACAGGTTGTCATTGTTCGATATGAATCAATGTGAATATAAAACCAATTTTACCTCAGTAAAGCAGGCTAGGATCCCACTATTAATTTATGTTTTGTTGTTAAACTAAATAAAAATCTACAATGTCAATGCTGTCATGATGTTCCTTATGAAATTGAAAATAGTCACATCAATATTTCGCTGGAAGATTTCAGTGACTGAACACCATTTCCCTGCATATAACCCATTTGTAAAACAGCTTTGCGTAACTAAAATGTAAGTGTTAAAGCATAATATTCCCTATCTAAAGGAAATACTTCAGCCATGGTGTTATTCTTCCTCCTGCATGCAAAAGTAACTCCAAAATTGATTCAGGTTTTAAAAAAAGTTTTGATTGAGCATTTGTTTTTATCTCTGTCACTTGTGTTCATGTGATCGTAGCTCTGGTGAACACGCATCTGTGTGAATGGGTGCAGAGATGTTTTTTTAATTTTTTTATTTAATATTTAATTGGTTAAACATTTTTTTGTCTTATGCCTTACCCAGAATATAAAAATACGTATAAACACATTCAGATTATTTACTTTAATCATTACTATTGGAATGTGAAGAGACTTTCAACCAGTACAACAAAACACGTTTCTGAAGACAATCACCTACTGCACCTTTAATGGACGCTGGTGAATGTTGTAGCAAATACATTGTTTAACCAATAGATGCCATCAAACAACCATTTAAAACTATGTCACTGAATATTTTTCAAAAATAATGCACTTTAAATGAAACATGAACTTTTGTGTGTGAATTGTTGAATCACTAATTGAAAATAAATATGATATGTTGTATAAGATGTTAGATTTCTATATTTAGCATTATTAGCAACAGTAGCAAATATAATTTTTCATATTGAGTATTTTACTTTTTCAGCTGGTTCTTTGTTGTTTTTTATTTATATTAAAATGACAGGTTTTAAGTTCTGTTTGTTAAAATCAATAGTTTTTTTGCAGTAATATTTTTTATAAATGGAAAGCAAATGACATGTCTCCTCCCATTTTTGCTACCATTTTTGACTCAAAAACCATAGTGTGTTCTGAATCATGAGATTTGTGATCCGTTATACCGCTAATTTTTAGTATATCTTCCTTTGTGTTCAACAGATGAAAGAAACAAACTAAACAGGTGAAACTAGAGGAGGGTAAGGGAATCATGACTGAAGGTTAACTTTTTGGATGAATCCCGCCACATGTTTATAACAGCAGCCATCTAGAATACGTCAACTACTTGAGGAAAAAGTTTTATTGGTAATTTGTCACGACTGAGTCATCTTCAGACATAAATGATCACAGAAGTCCATGTACAGTATTTCAATACTTGCATATACTTTTTAAATAGTTGTACATGAATATTAAAAGATTTGCTAAAAGTCTCAGTAAAGACATAGTAATGTTATAAAATATTTATTTTCCACTTATAAACAATAATATCAATAATAATAACAATAATATCATTATTATTAAAAAATAATATTAATAAGAAATGTTAGAAAATTAGAATGATTTTTGAATGTTGACACTAAAGACTGGAGTAATAGTTGCTAGAAATCCTGCACCGTTCCTTTATTTTACAATATATTTTATTTAAAGGTGTCCTTGTTACAGTATTCATGTAACTACTGAGTAATAATAATTGCACATTCTTATGGTAAGGATAAGATTAGAATGTGCGTTAGGTTTAGGGTTAATTACATGCAACTATGCATAACTAACTGTTATGCGCATGGAACATTGCAAGAAGGACACCTTAAATGTAAAATAATCAATTTGTACAAAAATCAAAAAACAATAATCAATGTTCTAACTGTATATTGAATCAAATAAATGCTTCATTTAAAATTATTAGAAATTTTACCAACAACAAACAGTGGCAAATGTTACAATACAAAAACAACAACACCAACAAAAACAAAGGCTAATATTATAATTCATATTTATAATTATATTAAAATAATACAAATGAAATTTCACAAAATTGTAATACAATACGCCTGCTTCATAACACTAAATGTTCCTCACCTTCTCCATTGGATTCCATACGTGAAGCTGTATTGACTGTGTCACCAAACAAACAATAACGAGGCATCTTCAAACCCACCACCCCTGCACACACAGGACCTGCACACACACCCACAGGAATAATAGTCAAAGGATTTTAAAGAAGGGTACATCAAGTGCATCACTCCAAAATTCTAATAAATAAATATGAGTGAATGAATGTTTCCAATTTTGTATACAATACATTGTTGTATTTAATTAGGCATAATATACATGAACATATCCCTGCACCATCACAATGTAGATATTAAAAATGTTTGGTATATTTAAGTGAAGGGCAGATTTACAGCTCATGAGGCTAATGTGTGACCATGGACCCCAAAACCAGTCATAAAGTTCTTTAAAAAATCAAAATAAAAAATTGTTGATGTTGATGTATACATTATCTGAAAGCTGATTAAATAAGCTTTCCACTGATGTGGTTTGTAAGCACCAGACTATATATGTCTGAAATAAAAACAAAATGTCTTAATTGAACATGATCTGTACTTAATATTAAAGACTGTTTGGTATTAACATAAAATTTGCATCATTTTGACAAATTTGTCACACAAATACGCATGTACTGTAACATAAGATGGTTTTGTAGGCTAGGGTCAGATTTTACGAAAACAGCCTTTAAAAGTGTTGAAATTCAAATCTACAGGCACAAATTGGTAAAATGTGACATAAGAAACTCTTAAAGGAGGATTTTTGTGGCTTTCTTCACTTCATGGAAAACCAAAAAGAGCAAAATCTCAATTTTGACAGGTGTTTTTGTTCTCTGACTCTGAAACTGTTGCTGATCCTCACCGCTGTGGATGCCGATGCGCAGACGGAGCTGCAGGTTTGGTCGGTGGCGGATTCTGAATGAGTGTACGGCCTCCAGCAGAGCCAGAGACATGCGGGCGATCTCACGGGCGTGCAGTTTGCCGTTCCTCACGGGCAGACCTGACACCACCATATACGCATCGCCGATGGTCTCCACCTGGGGGCGCCACACAAAAACACATTATTCCCCTTGTGGAAAACAAGCGTGCTTAATTCAACAGATATTAAAAAGAACATGGCATTATATTAATAAAAATAAAAGCTGCACATTTTTGTAACTAACTTTGTATTTACTAGTTGTAATTAAATTGTAGTTGCTATACTTTATGCAATAAAGCAGAAGAGTACATGATACTTTATAGTTTTAATACACTGTATGTATATAACCATGTAGGGACTAATCGACTAATTCATTACAGCATGTGCTTCATTAGCAAATTTATATTTGTTTTATTTTTAGTATGATTACTTATTTATCATGAGCAGATGTGCCATACGATTCATATTTTTTTAAAGTGCATAGATTATACTTATCAGCCAGTATAAGCTTATTAAACATACTTTTATTTAAATTACAATTACAACACTACATTTGCACACTGCATGTGCCTAATAAAAGTTTAAACAAGAACACAAAAATGACATATATCAGTTCATTCATTCATTCATTCATTCATTCATTCATTCATTCATTTTCTTTTCAGCTTAGTCCCTTTACTAATCTGGGGTCGCCACAGTGAAATGAACCGCCAAATTTTCCAGCATATGTTTTACGCAGCGGATGCAATTCCAGCCGCAAACCAGCACTGGAAAACACCCATACACTTGCATTCACACACATACACTACACCCAATTTAGCTTATTCAATTCACCATATAGGGCATACATGTCTTTGGACTGTAGGGAAAACCGGAGCACTCGTAGGAAACCCAAACCAACACAACATACAAACTCCACAAAGAAATGCCAACTGACCCAGCCGGGGCTCGAACCAAAGACCTTCTTGCTGCGAGGCGACAGCGCTACCCACTGTGCCACCATGTCAGCCACATACATATATATATATATATATATATATATTGTTTAAAAAACATACACACACACACACACATATATATATATATATATATATATATATATATATATATATATATATATATATATATGTGTGTGTGTGTGTGTGTGTGTTTTTAAACAATATAGTATTTTACAATTATTTCAAGGTGTTTTTTATTTTATTGTGAAAATATCTAAATAAATGATGTAGAAATTATTTTTTCGATTTTCATAGATGGTTTCATGGCTTACTGGCTTACTGTTTTCTGTTGAGCACAAAAGAAGATCATTTGAATAATCTTGAAAAGCAGTGGCCATTGACTACTACTGAAAAAAACTCTATTGATGTCAAGGTCTACTGGTGTCTAGTATTTTACAAAATAACTCTTTTTCTGGGAGTAAATGATTAAAAAAATAATTTTTGGGTGAACCATCAAAATAAAAAGTTACAGTTCATCCGGAAAGTGAGGTCAATTCATCCGGAAACCTGTGGTCAATTCAGTTGATTGGACATGATTTGAAAAGGCATACACTTGTCTATAAGGTCCTAGGGTTGACAGTGCATGTCAAAGCACAAACCAAACATGAGAACAAAGGAATTGTCTGTAGACCTCCGAGACAGGATTGCACAGGCACAGGACTGGGGAAGGTTACAGAAAAATGTCTGCTGCTCTGAAAGTTCAGGGGATTTTTGACCATTCCTCTTAGCAGTACCTCTACAGCTCTATCAGGTTGGATGGAAAACAGTCATTGTCCTGCTAAAAGATGAACAGTCGCCTCAGTTAGAGGACAAGAACACTCTGAAGCAGGTTTTCATTAAGGACATTGCTGCATTCATCTTTCCCTCTCTCCTGATTAGTCTTCCAGTTCCTGCTGCTGAAAACATAATCCTGCCCACAGCATAATGCTGCCACCACCATGCTTCACTGTGATGGTATAAGTCTGGTGATGAGCGGTGCCTGGGTTTCTCCAAATGTAATGCCTGGCATTCACTCCAAAGAGTTCAATTTTAGTCTCATCAGACCAGAGAATTTTGTTTCTTATAGTCTGATAGTCATTCAGATGCCTTTTGGCAAATTCCAGGCATGGAGTGGCTTCCGTCTGGCCACTCTACCATACAGGACTGATTGGTGGATTGCTGCATGGATGGTTGTCCTTCTGTAAGGTTCTCCTCTTTCCACAGAAGAAAGCTGCAGCTTAGACAGAGTGACCATCAGGTTATTCATCACCTCCCTGACTAATGCCACTTTCATATGTGGTCTTAAATCAGACACAGATCTGATGTTTTGCAATGCGACCGCAGTGTAAATGGTTATGTCGGATTTTATGTGACTTTTACACAATCTTTGAACGACATGCGTCATCATTCTGTGCTGCAGACATCATCTACCCCTCAGCAGCACAGTAAAATAGCACCCAGGGCAATTACAGTACCACAGAAAGTTGGTTGTTGATGTTGAAAAAGATTTTGAAGGCATAACTGGTGCTTGTTAACTAATCTGGATAACGATTGAGACACGGGTTGATCGCGAAGCTGAAAATTGTCGTGGGTGTTGCGGATGGGGGATCTGTGTGCAAAGGAGGAAGATAACTTTCTCTTCGAGAGAAAAAAAGGGCAGGTGTTGGAGCGCCCAAACGACCCTTCTGCACATGTCTGCTGTTTATAACGAAGTAAAATTAAATAACTCCGCAAACGGAGATAAACCAACTCTGCCTTTACAGCTCAGCCAGCGGCTGCTTATTAACCCTTGATGAGTTAACTACTCCGGTGATCAGAGCGCCACGCACAGCACTTGTAATAAATCACAAACGATCATTTTTTTTTTTATCACAGGAGACTTATTTTTGGTCTCAAATGCTGAAATACAAAGTAGTTGTAGCAGAACAATCATTTACAGTTCATAAATTGCAGCACAATTTTCTGTGAAAAGGGTAATAATTATATAAGCATGATCTGACAACGTGCTTACTCATGCAGAACACACGTGTGTGGATAATTAGACATTTTGTGCTCTCTGTAAAATGCACTTTTGCGCATGCGGGTCAGTTTAGGACCAGGATCTGTTCACATGAACAGCCATGCAAAAAATCAGATCTGAGAAAAAATCTGATTTGAGCACTAAGCCTCGCAGTGTGAACGTAGCCTAAGGCCCTTCTCCTCCAATCACTTAGCTTCGATGGCAGGCCAGCTCTAGGAAGAGTCCTGGTGGTTTCAAGCATCTTCCACTTACGAAGGATGGAGGCCACTGTGCTCATTGGAACTTTCAGAGCAGTAGAACATTTTTCTGAAACCTTCCCCAGCCCTGTGCCTTGAGACAATCCTGTCTTGGAGGTCTACAGACAATTCCTTTGTTCTCATTCTTGGTTTGTGCTTTGGCGTGCACTATCAACCCTGAGACCTTATATAGACAAGTGTATGCCTTCTCAAATCATGTCCAATCAACTGAATTGACCACAGGTGAACTGCAATTAAGCTGCTGAAACAAGTCAAGAATGATCAGTGGAAACAGAATGTAGCTGAACACAATTTAGAGCTTCATGGCAAAGGCCTTAAATACTTATGTACATGTGATTTCTCAGCTTTTTTATTTTTAATAAATTTGCAACAATTTCAAAAAATCTTTTTTTTACATTGTCATTATGGGGTATTGTGTGAAGAATTTTGAGAAAATAAATGAATTTTATTTATTTTAAAATAAAGCTGTAACAAAAAAAATAAAAAATGTGGAAAACGTGCTATGAATACTTTCCGGATGCACTATATATTTAAATATATATTTTTTAACAAGTATTTTTAAACAACCTACCTTGTATACGTCGAAATTGTCAATGATTGCATCAAAGCAAGTGTAGAGATCATTCAGCAGCGTCACCACCTGTGACAGATAATTTAACACAAGAGTCATCTATTTGAACTCAGTAATGCACTTGTGACTGTTCCAGTAAATGATAAATTAGCTTGTAAAGGTGGGCACACACGGTACAATCCTTTTGCTGTTGTATTAACTTGGATGCGTTTTTATTTCTATCAGGAGAAGTTGTGTGGAAATATTTGACACTCATATGGCTCAGCTCATATTGAGTGAGAGGAACTTTTTATTTCTTAGAGCTTATGATCCTTTTTAAACATTTACAAATAACGTTCGGGAGTTGTTAGCTTGAATTTGTGGGGTATATGCGGTTGAATGATCCAATATCAATTTATCTGAAGTTGACCAATAGGGAGGATAAGTAGTCATGAGAAGGATAATAGTGAACGCAGAGTTATCAGAGATAGTTTTCAGTGGACTAGGCTTTATAACTGAAACACATGAAATGACTAGACATTCTTGTGCTATATACACTGTTAACGATTTTTGTAAATTACACAGTATTTAACTGTAATATGAACTCTGTTTTACTGTAGCACAGATATGTGGTATTTAACAATATTTTAAATTTTATTCATAAATTTATTTTCTTTTAGGTTAGTCCCTTTATTAATTAGGGGTCGCTACAGAGGAATGAACCACCAACTTTTCTATATGTTTTACACAGCAGATGCTTATCCAGCTGCAAATCAAGTACTGGTCGCCGTATTTTAAAGTTTTAATGTGAAAATGTCTGTAGATTTTAAAGTAAAGATTTACAATACAGAAAATACATCCAGCAAGATCAATAGTGTTGTAATTGAAAATACAGTAGTTTTGCTGTAATTTATTTAGAGTAAGTTAATAATGAACTGCGCAAGTAAGTTTCTGTAGATTCTACAGAAAATTGTTAACAGTGTATGTATAGGAAGGATTTTTATATCATATCAATAGTTGTAATGGAAGAGAAAAAGAGAGAGATTTGCTTTAAAAGTAATGTCTTCCTCTGTCAATGTTATTGGTGCAGAATTTCACACGGTTGCTTCAAAATTCTCCAGGTCATAAAATTGTGCCGTATATCACTTTGTCCTCATGACATATGATCTTCCAAGCATTAGAATTGGCACCGTGTACATCTGCCTTATTTCATTCTGTTTGTCTCCTTGAGGAGTGTTTGAATGCTCTGGGCTTTCTGACCTCCATAGGCGTGCTTTCAGCGGATAACGCTGTGAAGCCCACAATGTCACTGAAGTAGATGGTGACAGAGTCAAAGGCTTCAGCCTGAACCATCTCTCCTCGCTTCAGCTGCTCGGCCACTGAGCTGAAACGAAACACACACACACACACACACAGACGCAGGCACGCACACAGTCACATACACACCTGTGAAAACACATCTTCAGCTGAAGAAAATAAATGCACATCAAGTTCTATGAACTATGTAAAACATCCTGTTCAAAATAACAACCCTGAATCAGTACAAGAAGCCTATAATAAGTGTTTATACTTTAGACCTGTTGAGACAGATTTGGCAGAGATTACCATAAAATTGAAGTTGTCACACTAAGTGAGAAATATTGAACATGGAAACAAGTCAGCATGCAAAATCAACAGCTTTAAAAACAAACTGACTGAGAATAGAGCAAAGTCTGCAAGCAAAGAGGGGAAGAGTGATAATTGAAGTAACAAAATAAGAAAATAAAGTAATAAATCCTGAATCAACATGATTCAACCATTTTGAGGTGACAAAAAGTTTGAGATCTGAAAGAAGAGCTGCTTGAGTCTTATAAAAATTGTTCTTTGAAAAAGCAATAGCAGGTGATGAATAAATAACTGATTTGACGATGCTTCACTAAATAGTACTGCCTGTTTGCATGCAGTAATTGCTGTTATTAGGCTATAGCATTTGTCGGTAATTGATGTATTCAGTCTGGTGTTTTTAAATATTTCAACATGGTAATGAGGTTCTATCTGAGTGATTTTAACAATGATTATGAAGATCTTACTGGTGACAAGGCTCTACCATGATATGGTATATGGATGTCAATGTTGCTTAAATTTTATTACAATTAAATTCAGAGCATTTGTACCAATTTGACAGATCGTCTTGTTTTATTGAAAATAAAAATCTGCAGCATGTCCTCAAAATCAGGAAAAAAGAACCTGCTTCATGATTTGATATCTTATCATTACTGATATAATTTACAATCACCACAAAGAACATGCAGGAAATAAATACATTTGTTCTACTGTAATTTTTAAATTTTGACAACAAAAAAGTAGTTTAAAATAATAATTAGCTAACTAAAAATGTTATTGTGAGTTTTCTGTTGGGCATTCATTTCATTATGCAATATATTTTGGGGCTTCCAACAAAGTGGCAACATACCGCTCTCCCTCATGAAGCTAATACTATTGTTGAAACTGCAATTGATTGAAATTCCATTGTCCTGGCTCCATAATAGAGCACATTTCTATTGAACTCAATGTTAAAATGGCCAACTTTACAGCAAACAAAAAGGTGTTTAAATTATTACCATCATGACAACTGTGAGGGGGTGCATTTTTTTTTATAACTCAGCCATTTCGTTTATGTTAAGTTATATTAATCTGCATAATTACTTGAATGACAGCTAGGTCTCGCTGGTTGCCCTCACGTCACTTCAGCGTATTCTTACTGATTAGCCGCTGAATAAACATCTACATAGCATTTTTGTTTTGTTTTATGTGGCTTTACACAGTCAATTGCCTTTTTGGAATTATTTCCTACAATTTTCAAATAACATGGCATGCTGTGCACTTAATTGTGTTCACAAACCATTCAAGTGACCTCCATTTCCCAGGTGAGTAAAATTATATTATTCTATAACATCTCTATAAATGTATTTGTTTTATTTAAGATCATTTATCATTTACAATTTCTTTAGAACTTGAATGCACTCCAGAATCTGACAGATTGATTAGCTGTAGGGTCTAGAATAGTCATCTGAAACGTTGCCATACATTGTTTTGTCTGGATTTCATCAATAGCCTTGCATTTACTAACACAGACTATATTTGAAGTATTTAGAAGTAATTTGGCCTTTCTTCCTGTATAAAAACATCATAAGAACAATGTTTAGTGGCTCAATGTGTTACAACTGTGCTTTTAAAAGACTAAACACTTTGTTGATATAGTGCACAACCAAGCACATGTGGTCAAAACACAAACGAGTCGCAGGTAATGAAGTATTAAGCGTTTCTCCCAAATAGCGTTTCTCCGTGCTTCTTTACCCTTTGATGGTAACCCTCGTTTGGCACAATGATATGCAAATAAAAAAGGAAACGGTTGGCCACGCCCACTTGTAGCTTTATTTGCACTTTAGAAACCAATGGGTGACGTTACGAATACTTTGTCCATATGCTATGCTTATGAACAATTTTTGAAATAACACTTATTGAAATATTTAAACACAAACAAACAAATAGAAAACAAGAAACACATGCATAAATAAATGGTTTTAAAAATAAAAGTGGTTTGTAAATTTGCATACTTTAGACAGAGAGACAGTATGCACGCGCGCACACATAAATTATCCCAAAGGACATTCATGCATGATGTGTGTGGGACTCACTGTGGGAGAATCTGATAGAGCAGAGCTTCAGCTTTTCGTTTCTCCTCATGGTACGCCTGTGTCCTCTCCTCCACCAGCTCCTCCAGGTTATTGGCATATTGCTCCATACGGGACAGGAGGTTATCCAGAATATTAGAGCCGTATCCACTGAGGGCAAAACATAGAAGGAGAGGCAGGGAAATGAAGTGTGAATCTGTGTCTGACATGTGAGAGGGCTGAGCATGCAGGTTTCCATAAGCAGGTCAGCATATGTCTCCACCCCAAAAAATATAATAAAATAATCAATTAATTAAATAAATAATTTTTTTTTCTACATAATTAAAAGTTATTATACAAAACTATTATTATATTAAAGTAAACTATTATTTATTATTTGTATTGTATTATTTTATTTTTATATCAATAAATGACATTTTATAAGAGCATTTTTAAAACTGTATAACTTACACAGCTAAATAGTGCCAAGTATCTTTGCAAGTCTGAGGTAAACTAGCATTTTACATGATCTACAAATGAACCTTTAAATTCAACCAAAAATGTTGACGTTCATATAATTTGTTAAGTCAATTAAATTCCTGTGTGTGAAATGATGATCACTTGAATGTGTGTGTGTGTCATGTACCAGTTGTTCTTGCGGAGCAGTACTTTAATCTGGCTGAAGTCTGGCCTCTCGTTGACGTCCTCTGACCAGCAGCGCAGCATCAACTGTCCCATCTCCTCACTGTGACTCTGAGGACACAGTAGGGGACGCAGGTATGGCCAGCGGCCCTCCACCACACGTTCGATGATCTCTAAAACACAGAACCTAGTCAAAACATGTAACAAACAGTCCCTCCAGGATTTCACGGGATATTTTTATCGATTTTTGTGGCCTAAAAAGACTTTTCTTTCTCATTCTTTTCTAAAGAACTGTGTCTATATTTGTAACAGTTCTTGTGTTTTTAGCAGTGAAAATATACACTGAAAACAATATGGTAAAATTTGCAAATCATGGAGAGAAGCAAGCAGGAAACTTAAAAAAAAAAAAAACGTTTTACAAGACGTAAAGATACGACTTCAGTGTCTCCAGAATGTGTCTGTAAAATTTCAGCTCAAAATTCACATTAGATTGTGCCTATTTTGGTCTCAGAGCAAAATGAAGCTGTTTTTTTAGCCTGTGTCTTTAAATGCAAATGAGCTGGTTCACCCCGCCTACCATTTCCACATGCATGTCTGCTTCTCATGCGGTATGTCAGATAAACAGCAGTCAGTGACAGAGGCAGACATGGATGAAGCAGAAGAAGTTAATTTTAGGTATTTGTGGCAGAGCTTATTCAAGCTTTTCTCAGCCACACACAAATGCCATTACAAGGTTCGTAGTACACACACACACACACCCACTCCCTGGCACTGTTTTTTTCTCCTCGTAAACAGCTGTACTGACACTATGCGGCAGTGGTGATACCGGGCATCTATGAGTAACACAGCGGTTTCTCCTGCTCTGTGGACATGTTTATATACATTACTACAGAGACACATTAATATTTGGGAATCAGTCTGGACTCTCACCTTACTTATTGTGAGCATGTTCAAAATGTCAACAAAAAGCTGAAACAAAAGCTGTTTGTTTATGCAAAAATTAGGACAAGTTTGTCTTTTTCTGTGTCTGAAAACGATCTTCATGCCTAAATCTTGTCTGTTGCTTGTTTGGTCACTCATAACAAATGATATCTTGGAGCCAATAGCTAGACTGTACAATCAGGCCTATAAGATCAACAAGAGACTTTCTGGATGGACACATTACTGATTTGCTCTATCACTCTCCAATGCTTTATCATTTCAAAATTACATTATGAACACAGGGGTTAAACTGTACAATCAAATTTTAAATAGTGCTACCTCAGCAGCCCTTTGTGCTTTGACACCAAAACTTAATACAAGGACAGATCGTTTCACCAGATCTGCAACAAATGGATGTTTGGACGGCTTAAAAAAACTGTTATGTACAGAGAACTTTCTTTTATATATTCACAAAAGCCTGGAATAAGATCCCACAACATCTAAAAACAATACTAACACTGGGACTTTGAAAAAAGTCGTCATTTAAATGGTCAACTATTGCTGTAGCCACTATGATAGTAGCCTGTCTATCTTCATTTTGTATGTTTGGTGATTGTTTGTACTGTTCTCATGTTGATGGATATGTTAAGGGTGTCTGTATGTTTTTATGTTCCGCAGAGCAAGAACCTGCTGAAAAAACAGCATTCATGTTGAGTCAGGTTTGATTATCTTTTAATCTTTTCCTGTTTAAAAACTATCAATAAATTCATCAATAAATAATAATAAAGGTCTGTCAAGCAATTCGGTGGGTGGGGGAAAAAGTGACTTGTTATGTTTATATCAATCCAATATGAATGTGGACAAACTATACTGTATCTACACACAGTTCTGTCCAAAAGATGATTTTGATTTCGCATCATAGGTGCCCTTTAGGTGTTTACATCTCAACCCTTTAAAAGCTGCTGTATCAGTGGACACAGGAAGGAATTTTGAAAGCAAATTAACAAACAAAAATGTAATCAGAAAAATTATGACAAATTATTTTAATCAAATACTCTTTAAAGAGCCCCTATTATGGGTTTTTAAAAATGACCTTCCATACAGTGCGTAACACAACTCTAAGCAAATAAAAACATTCAGTTGAGGTTTGAATCTGAAAATGCACCGTGTTTAAAACCAGATTAAAAAATTGATTCTTTAACGAAATCTTCGACTTAAGAGTCGAATAAATTAATCGTGTTGGGTTCGGATTTTTTTTCCTGAATGCGTCAACATCAATACGGTACATTACCAAATGTGTGGTGCCAGATCTTGTAAAATGCCATTCCTTTTAGACACTAGCAGAGCACGGGGGACCACAGGACTGATCATGATGTGAAGATGATAATCACTGACAAATAGAAATTCGGCTGTGGGTAATTTTCACAACAATACCACAGTATAGCCAACCTAATGCTGTGTTTGTTCCTGTCATTTCTTTGATTTTTGACACAATAACCTACACTGCAATGTGGGATTCGCCTGCCGTTTGCTATTAAAGGAAGGAGCAGCAGAGACTATTATGTATGGGACTTTGTCAGACTTTGACAAGGACTTTATCAGTAACTGTTGGAGTCCTCTGGATCATAACATGTAAGTGAAATTAAAATTGTTGCCTTGTTTTCTGTAGTTTGCAAAATATGCATTTAATTGTGTGTTGTAAAGTGTTATCGCCCCACATAGCTTGTAAACACTTATCTGTAACAGAACTATAACGGTACTGTATCTCTCAGGTTACATCTGTATTGGGCTATTCACATATTGCATTCAAAATTACATTGAAAATGTGTTGCAAGCTTCTTCCTTTACCAATTTAAATTTGTTTGTTAGCTCGCGATCCTTTGCCATTTGTCTTTACTATGTCCACCATCAGCTGTTCCTACACACGTACATGGCTATTTTTTTAAATAGTTCAACTTTTGGCACTATCTGAATTAATACTAAATGTGTGTCATTGTTATTACTTGGGGTTAGGGTTAAGAGTAGAATGATATGCTGGTGAATAACTGCATTACTTTATTGCATTCCTGCATTGGGCTCACACACACTCTTTGCTACTACATAGCCAAGGCGAGCATTTCTCTCTGTCTCATGCTAACCCAGTTAACCAATCACAACAGACTGGGTCATCGGACTAATCACAGCAGATTAGCTTTACCAAAGGAGGGGTTTGGGAACAAATTAATTGCTGGACAAATCATATGGGAGTCGTTGGCATAATTAGGTACAAATAAATGCATACTATAAGACAATTAAAGTGTTTTTTGACCTTCCAAGCATATCAACCTTGCTGGAGAAATAAATAAATAAATAAAATAAAAACTATCACCGTTTATAATGCAAAATAGGGGCTCTTTAATTAATTAGAATTGTAGGCTTGCTGCATTACATTTTGTTTTGCCCACATTTAAATACGTTTTAATTAATTTGACTAAATGCAGATTACTAAGACATTAAGAGCAACAAATCATTTTTAAAAGTATTCTACGTAGGTGGCCTGTTATACTATTGTGACTATGTAATTGACTTATTTGCATATGTGGCCAAATAAATAACAAGTGCAGTAAATTGCTATTTTTGCTCCATTTGAGCCACTAAATAAAACCCAGCTGGCTTTTTTGTCCTGTACTCTGTATCACATGGGCAATTAAAAGCCTGATGTATCAAATATAATAACAAAAAAACAAAAACGCTTTTTTTCTGGCTTGGTTTAGTCCAGACTGAAATGTTTAAGTTTCAGCAGGAGCGGGTTTGCAGTGTTACACTAACTGGGCCTGACAGATGCATATTAAAGCAAGTAGAAATGTAGCGACTGATTCAATGCTCAAAGCTTACTTCAAGTGCAGTTTGGCTGAATGTGCATTTCGTTAACACCAAAACGCATCTGGCTACTACAGTGGCTGAGAGAGCTCAGACTAAAAAAGTTAAGAAAATTCCAAACAGAAATCAGAAAAACACAAACAAATTGAAAAAACATGCTCAACAGTGGCAGCACGGTGGCGCAGTGGGTAGCACAATCGCCTCACAGCAATAAGGTCACTGGTTCGAGCCCCAGCTGGGTCAGTTGGCGTTTCTGTGTGGAGTTTGCATGTTCTAAAGGCATGTTTGCAAGGTAAATTAGGTAAGATAAGTCTGTATAGTGTATGTGTGCAGGCCCGGATTGGCTAATCGGGAGGACCGGGAGAATTCCCGGTGGGCCGGTCCGTTTTTTGGCCGCGAGGGCCGGTGTCCCTAGCTCCAGAATCTGTTGCTCTAAGCAGTCACACTTTTTAAATTAATTTATTTATTTACTTGACCACAGTCTTCTTATTCATTAATTTAATACAGCTCTCTGCTCTTTTCATATATAACCAGCCTGCAGGTTCATAATGTTATAAGTCACTTCTCATTATACAACCGTTGTGGCCCAGTGGTTAGCACGTTAAATTACAACGTCGCCGACCCGGGTTTGATCCTCGCCTGAGTAAATTGTTATTTTCATTTTTATTGTTGAGACATATAATACTGTTTGGGTTGTCGAACATTTGAAGTTCTAAAGCAGCTGTTTTCTCAAAAAAAAAAAAAAAAGACGTGATAGTGTAATTAGAAACTGAATTGGAAATGACCTTATTTTAATATAGTCAGTCGTGAACTGAGGTGGGCCGGTCTGAGGCTTGAAACTCCAGGGCTGAAAAGGAGTCCCACTCCGGCCCTGTATGTGTGTGAATGAGTGTGTATGGATGTTTCCCAGTAATAGGTTGCAGCTGGAAGGGAATCCATTGCCTAAAACATGCTGGATAAGTTGGCGATTCATTTAATAAGGGGACTAAGCTGAAAAAGAAAATGAATGAATGAATGATCATTAGTTTGACAACACAAACGCATACAAATTCTCACGCTCAAAATGCTGCAAATTCATAAATAGTGGATTCCATAATGAAAATGAAGGTGAGTGACTTGTGTTAAGGATAAGGTGAGTTTTGATCGCACAAACTAAAGATGGGGGAGGGGGGAGTTGGTTACTGCGGAGGGCCCCCCCGCCACCACCGGTTCTTGTGTACTAAATGGCACATTATACACTATGAACTTATTTACTCAACTAAACTCTTTAACAATACTAATTTTAAAGATAATAATAATAATAGAGTTTAGTGCAGTCTCAAATAGAGCCCTAAAGCTCCATTCAAGCAATTTATTTTTCTAAAAGTACATTCTAACCATGGCGACACAATGG